TGGATTTGAACACACAATGCTCTGCATGCAAAATAAACCTACTGTTAACTACTAGATTGCATTCAGTATACAGCTGCACCTACCTAAAGTCCTGTACCTAAATTGTTCAGTGTACCTTTATACTCTTACTTAACCAGTAACATGGGAGCACAACCTCTTTGTACAGGCAGGAAGGTAAGTAGTCCCCTTTATATAGACCAGCTGAGCAAACAATAAACAAACCAAAAAGACTCGCAAAAGTCCAAAAGTGATCATAAGAAGCATAGGACTAAAAAATAAGGATATTGGGCAAAAACCGAAGCTTATACATAAATGTTAGAACATGAACAGAGGGCTGACCAGAAACTGTGAGACAGAGGTGTCAGGTGATGGCTCAGTCCAGCACCATAGAGAATACTGTGAGAGTTATGAAAACATGGGACATAAATGCTGGGCTGAGACACAAGGGAGTAACACTGGGCACATGTCTGACAGCAATCTGGCACTTAGAGAAGTCTGGCTGTTGATTTAAGTACAGAATGTCTTGATTACCCTGATTACCTGGTAGAGTGAGAGAAGCTTGGATGTAGTTAAGGGAATTGGGATTTACCACTTACACTCACACCAACAGGCAATTTAGAGTGACCAGTTTACCTAACCTGCGTGTTTTTGGACTATGCGAGGAAGCCCATGCAGGTACAGGGAGAGCATACAGGATCCACACAGAAAGGCCCCTGTCAGCTAGGAGGTTCAAACCTGGAACCTCCTTACCGTCAGGGAACAATGCCAATGGCTGCCCCACCATGCCACCCTTATTGTTGTTATTTTAACTTTAAAAGCTTAATTGTTTTAAAACTTATTTACTTGCTTTGAGGTCATCTGTAACTGTAGAGGGTTTATTACATTTGTGAGAGGAGCTATTCAAATGAAAAAGAAAACAGATAAACGTTGTCTGTCAACAAGCGACATGACTATAGCCTCCTTGTTTTGCACGGATATATCCCTAATGCTCTCTATATTGTTTAGGGAAGCTTTTATAATTAAAGTTTATGGAGCCGCAATAGTTCAGGCTTCTCAATTCTTTTTTATTGAACGTTTGAATAGGATGTAATTGAGAAGAGCACTTTTGCATTCAGACATAATTATAATATGTAAATGCTCCTTCTGTTTACGATGATCCCCCCGCCCCCTTTGACGACTGGGCTGTGGAGCCTCTGTTTAGATGTCAATTGGTGGAGACAGAGTCGACTCCAGTGAACTCAGGCTGTCAATAAATATGGCTGCATCCTGACAAGAGTCACACAAGGGCAGCTAGCAGTTCACCGCCTGCACTAGCTAATTGGCGTTTACAGTTTCCTGACAAAGTCATGTCCAGAAAATAATGCATCGGCTAGGGACAGATGTTTTCCAGACTCTGGCATTGTTATCCAACCGCTGAACCTTTTCAATGTCACATTCAAAATGTGCTTGAGCACCAACTAACTTGTATTTTACTTGTAACCATAATCAATGGCTGTTATTAATGAGTTTTCATTTTCAGTTGCTTTTTGATTAACCAATATCTGTTTGGCTTATTATATATCATAAATAATAAAAAAATTATATCCTTCCCAAAACTCATTATAACATATCCATATTGCTTGTTTTATTCAGTTTACTACCATAGATACCTAAGAAAACTAGCTAAATGTAATGAAACCAAGAAGGTTTCATAATTGAAACTGCACGTTTATGGCAGTGTCCATGACCACAGAGTTGCGCTACACTTGGCATCGTGTTTATGACTGTAAGTCAGTTAAGCTTACCATTGTATGTTGGGTGTTGTCATTATTGTTAGCGAAGTTCTTTCAGTGCCACCTGCCAACCTAGTGGCACTTCTTTAGGAGATGGGTGGGATGAGAGGGAAGGAACTATGTAATTGAGTTGTATCTATGTCAGAGGACATGCTGGTACACAGTACACAGTACACAGTGTCAGCCATTTGTTTTTTCATTCTTCTTGAACATGTCCCTGTTTGCCGTCACTCTTTGGGTATGGCATCCCTCCATATGAAGTTCAGTATCTTTCTGTCTTGTGGAACCTCTTGTGTGACTCCAATCTAACAAGGAGCTGTTGTAATATTCTAAAATATTTAACAGTGCCATACCTCACCTTTCTTTGAGAAGTTGAAGGGTTGTGTACTTTATTTTTGGTACCCACCCCCTCCCCCCTTATGTTCCAGGAACTTGATTATAGTACCACCTCCTGAGGTTTGCTGAAATGCATCTTCTGGAACACACCTCCAAAGCGGGCAGAGGGCAGTGGAAACAAGCATGTTTCATTTAGTGACATTTTGGTATACTGTAGGTTCCTGTAGTGGAAAACCCCTAATTGTTGCTTTGGGCCCCTCCTCCTCCTCCTGGGGGCAACTGTGGTTCGGTAGGTAGAGCAGTAATTTCCCAACCGGAGGGTCCGAGGTTCGAATCTTGGTGCTTGCAGTCCACGTGTTGAAGTGTCCATGGGCAAGACACTTAGTTTCCTTTTTGATCTTTTTGACAAATCCTGTATCATTTCATAAACCAACATTTACTCAAGGCTGTTTTTCTTACAGTTTAGATTTAATGTTCGTGTTAGGTAAAGGGCACTATGATGCCTTATCTTGTATTCTTTTGCTCTACACCCTGTATTCATGAACAAAATAGTCCATTCTTGTGTTAACCTTTTCAAGCGGGTGAATTTCCTTCCATACGTCTATTATTCCCATTTCTAACGATGCAATATTCATGTATCGAGCATGTTTTTTATTGCCTTTCTGTGAGCTAGTTGTATTAGGTGTGATTCAGTGAAATAGGCTTTTAAAGTTACCTGCACATATCAATATCCTTTCAGTTTCCAGGGCAATTACCTCAAGTAAAGCTCTAAAAAAACATTTACCACAGTCTCGGGTCCATATGCATTATTCAGAGTAACCATCTGTTCTTCCAACTTCCCCAGTGCCACAGTGTATCTTCTTTATTTGTCACATTTCTTTTAGCACCTCGAACCTTGTATTTGAAATTAAAACTGCTACCGGTCTTTTATTTACACCTCTACATGAGCTGAAGAATGTTTTTTTAAATCTTAACTTACAGTTTCCATTTTCTGGTTGAGACTAGTCACAGGTAGATGATGTGTTTTTTTGTTTTTTTTTTTGCTATGACCTTTACCCTTTTTGCTGGATCAATCAGGTACATTTTAATGTAATTCAGTTGCAGCCATTCCAAATAGGTTCTTCTGTCATCCTGATACTTTGCAACTATTTGCAACTGTGTCACAAGAACCCAGAAATAAACACTTCAGTAACAAAGGGCACCTTCTGTTAATCCCTGTTGGAAGGAGAGGCATAAATCCTCCAGACTAGGAAGGGTGCATCACCAGGAGAGACCCTAGAAATGTTCCTTCTTACCTTCTAGAAGTGTCCAGCTTTTTTCTGTAGTCGTCTGCCAGTCGGATTATATCTCATGAAAGGTCTTTAAATTGGGAGGTAAATTGAATGCAGCTACTGTATGTAGCCAGATTAAATACTCTGTACTGACAGTAAATATAGCCCCATAGGGTGATTTGATATTATACATTTTATTTTAACAAACATAACTCGCTCAGCTCAAAACTGAAATGTGCTGTGGAGTTCTTTGAAATTGGTTGTTTCTTTGTACTTGGCATTTCTTTGACCCTTGTTTAGCGCTTCTGTTTTGGTTTCAGTGCCATTATCTTCCATATGGAGTTCTTCTTCTTTGTTCACCTGCAATTTTGGATCTTTCATCTTTTCCATCTGTTTCCTAAACTCATTTCTGTTTCAACTTAATACAGAATTCAGTTTGTTGTTTGTTTGGGTGTTACTTCTGCCCTCAAGCTTCGTCTTACACTGCCATCCCTTGCATCCCTTGAAGTCCAATATAAACTGGCAGGCACATTCCTGTACAGCTGAATCAGGGTAGTTAAGACTAACATACTGATATATGCATTATCATCGCAGGGACAGTTATTAATGAGACACTGGCTGGCAGGTGTAGTTGATTGTATACTACAGGGTGTGTTTGCCTCATGTGACAGTTCTGTGATTGATCAGATAATCTGAATTGTCTGCAGTTCTTCAATTTGTAAAATCATCACTTTTCCTGGTTATTTATTATATGTGCATCCTGAAGAGTTCTTGGACACCCTAATTAAAATTTCCAACAATGTTACGCTGGAATTACACTATGTGAGTGTAACTGAGCAGGTGAACAACAAACTGTTTCTCATTTGGCTGTTTAAATTAAAATCAACTGAAGATTTCTTTACTTTTTCTGAAGCTGCGAAGATGTATTATCTTCTTTACAGCTGCTCGTCCTGCTTATTGTGTAAACTGGATGATATGTGTTGAGAATGCAGCAGCAGGAAAGTGTTACACAGTCCCAAAATAGGGCTGGCTGTTTGACACTGCATTTCTCAGCCGTTATTCATGCTGCATTGTTTGAGTAATAACTGTGGCAGCTAACACTTTCTTATTTTCCCTTGTAACAAGTACCAAATTGAATGGGCATTTAAAAAATATCCTAGTAATTTACGACTAAGTACCATCAAATGTTCTGGAAATTCTGAATAAAATTCTTGGAAACAAGATGGAAATTAATGGACCTATAAAATCTGACAGTGCAAATGCTTTACCAGCCTTTGCTGTGACATCTTCCACAGTAGGACGCTGTGCCAGAGCTGCAGCTAACCATTTTTTTTTCATTATTGATTATTCCATTTAATATTTTGTCATTTAAAATGTCAGAAAATGGTGAAAAATGCCTGTTACAATTTCCCTGAGGACAGGTGATATCTGGAGTTAGTTGTTTTGTCCACCAACCAACTATTCAAACCCCAAACAGATTCTATATACATGAATATGACAAAGAGAAACTCAGCAAATCCTCAGAGTTAAGTAGTTTGAACCAAACTGGTTTTACTTTATACACTGCTGAGTAGGGTTTGATAAATGTCTGAAAATATGTGATCTTTTTTCTCTTGTTTAGTCTGTGTCAGAGGCAAGAGGACAATGACCACACAGCCAAAAGAAACCGAAGCACACCCAAGCAGCACTGCTGGCTCAGAATCAAAATGCACAGTAGTCAATCAGTAGGATTGCTCTAAACTGAAGGTAGGTTGGAAACACACCCACCCCCTGTTTTACTGCCTTTTTTCCACAGTTTGCTGTACCCCAGAATGCCATTTCACTAGTGCTCATTTTTGATTCACATTTTAAACTATCGTCTGCTCAGACTCCAGAGTCGGGTTGTTTTCCCAAGGTCTGTGGGATTTTAACTATAAAACTTTTAAAGCCTTTTACAGAAAATGACAATAGATGTCACAGTGAATCTCAGATTCACTCTGGGTTGCTCGGAGAGTGCATAATTTAAAATTCTAATGTATTCTAATGCTCCCCTTACTGTATATACTAAAGCAAACAGGGAGACGCTTTAAGTGGAGTTTACAAGTAAAATATAAGTATATATGTCATGAGCATCATTGCATAGCTGTATGTAAATGTGCCATTTTGTTCATGTTAATTTTAGTTGATTTAGTTGCTTAATATGACAGAATGTGAAAGCAAGATATTCTTAATTAAAAAAACAAATTTGTCCGAGTAGTCCCATGTGCTCCTGCATGCCTGGACACAGAACAGCCATAAACTCTGGTTCACCTTGTGCTCTCTCTTGTTGTGTACATATCAACTTGGTGGCTGCCACTAATATAAAGCAATAAATAGAAATGTGTGGCAGAGCTGCCCTTTTCTTTTTAATTTACTTGGCCATTCAGACATCTCTTCACGTCCCTTCTTACCTTCCCAGCTCCCATTAAGATTGAAGCCCTGCTTTTTCGGCAGCTCTGCGTCATCCTAATGCAATTCAAAGACCTACATTCTACACCAGAGTTGTCTTGGCAACAAAGGTTTCCCCCTCCCCGAGATGCTGAAAGATCAATAGAGTATCCTCGGTGGCGTGGCAGGAAGCGCTCTGGCACAGATGGTCCTCTGAGAAACTATGAGCTTTGTGACCTAGTTACCGTCTGAATACTAACACAATCAAACAAGGTCAGTCATATTGAATTTGAACAAACTTGGGAAACAATATTAGAATATATTTGAGCCAAAGACATTAGCACTCTTGCCTTGCCATAGCTCAAACCTGCTTAACTGTAAGTTTAACTAGAGATACAATATGCCAGGCACTGCTGAAGCCTATTGTACAAATCAAATAGGCCTTACAAGCACTTTTAGAAACTTTCATTTCCAAAAACCTAATATTTTTTGTTGTCTACTGATTTTTTTCTTGTGTTGCCAATGCATCAGTCCAAATCTAAATAAATGTCATTTGCCTGCATACATGACAATTTTGATAATAATAAATCTTAATGTCTTAACAAAGGAAATTTGAGGAGTTAATTTAGACAGGATGGCCACACTGTGGTAGCAACAATAAAGGAGTGTTGCTAAATAAATAAATTCTCTGGGGAGGGTGTGAAATTTCCTCGGTGTGTGTATTTTTGCACAGGGACATGGTTTAACCTCGGTATAACTGACTGAACACATAAATGACTACAGAATGTGTGTATGTTGTATTTTTATCTTGCTTGTATGTTCTTTGTTGTAGAAGTTGCACAGATGAAATGTTTTTCAATTTACTAAGCCTCCAGAGCCAGAGCAAGGAACAACAGGAGTATAAGTACAAATCAAAAGTGAAGCTTTGGATTTGGTGTGTTTTTAAATGCAGTCCAACGATCTAGTGAAATGTGGTAGTAGAAGTACTGCTGTCCGTGTTGAGTACATGTGGTCAGCAGTCTTTGAGAAACTGTCCCACAGGTTTGAACCTGTGCTCTAAGCTGTTCTACTTCAAACCCAAATTTTAATGAGCACTGATTGGACAGCAGTACTTCGTAGTTAACAAGTTGCCTGGTTGTCTGTAACGGCAGCCAGGGAGTAGTGTGTGTACATGTCTTTCCATGGTTGTTCAGAAGAGTTTTAGCTCAAAGCTATCACTGTGAGGATATTTCAGCATTGTGAAGACTCACAGCTTCTCACGTCTCTCACTATTTTGAACCTAACAACTCTCGCTGGATCTGATTTGTTAAGTTTAAGATGTGTGAAGGTTTGTGTGAGCGGGTTACAGTAGGAAGAGGGTGTAGTTCTAGAGACGGAGGGAGAGAGCTCGTCTTATACTTTATTTTTCTGGCATTTGAGACAGCATATAAAGTATTTCATGAATTTCACCACAAGCGTGATGACTTAATCTAGTACTGTTGGTAATGTGAGCATTAGTTGCTTTTGCTTTGGGCACAGTGGGGGACAAAAGCAGTGGTGTGACATCAGCACCATCCAAACATGGAGGAACATAGATACAGGGGCTCTAAAATTAGCCACGAGAGATGAAGCATGAGAGGTAGTGAAAAACAGACACTATTTCTGTTTAAAAATCCACAGCCAGCTTTCCCTGGCTAAATCAAACTAATTATGACAGACCTCTGAAAAAAGAGACAAAGCTCTTAAATGACACATTGAATGTGGTGGGGTTCAAAACTATTGGGCGGTGGGGTGCTGGGAGGTAACGGCCCTTTTGTCACTGTCTGAACCTGTAAAAGAAAAGTCAGTTGTCATCCCTTTACTTTATTGGCATTAACAGGCTCTCTTCTGAGCAGTGAAGCTGGAGGCATTAGCCATCACGATGGATGCCAAAGATGGTAAAACCAGCAGCTATATAGCATCAGCACATCACTGTTTGTGTTCCACTGGGGTGTCTTTTGGTTATTACAGTCAAGCATCACTTTTTACTCCTGTCACCGCTCTCTGAAGGCTGAAATCAATACCTCTGTATGGAAATCAGAGACTCGGAACATCCTCAAAACCCTAAGAATCGTCGAATAATGCCTCCATTGAGCAAACTTGAAAGCAAGCTGTATTTCTTGCGTTTTCACCTCTACTATTTGTTGCCGTGATTTAAATGACAGGTTTCTGTCTAACTTTGCAGTACATCATCGAAGCACAGGCAGAGCAGAGAGTGTGAAAAGGTCATAAAAATCCTTGAGTGCTGCTGACAGGCGCCCTTTTCTACCTTTAATTCTGCACCGTGATGTGGAATTCAGAGCAAGAAAACCGCACAAGCCTTGTGATATGATGAGACTGTACAGTACATAGCATGACTAATATAGGCAAACTGTCCTGTGATCATTCAAGAAATTATATGGCTCAGTGGTGATGCAGCCTGGTGGCATAAGAGAACAGTTCCATTAAAAGGCTACAGAGACATGGGCTTGTAATAGTGTTGGTGCAGGCTTTCATCATCCTAGGGCCGATTATTTCAGAAGACATCCATTTCATTTTGTGATTGATACCTTGCTGGCAGTCTTGGTCAGACTCTGGATTTTTTGTAGCAGGCTCTCATAAAGGCTGGGATGCTCTTTATTAATTCAAAGATTTCTGTTTCTTGACTCTCCTTTTTCCCCATGTCTGTCTCATACACAGGACCCAGAAACTGATCGACAATGGACCGGCTGGTTCTGTGCATGCTGCTGTGTGCAGCTCTGGTGAAGGGATACAACTGTCCGGGCCGTTGCATCTGCCAGCACCTCTCCCCAACTCTGACTCTGCTCTGTGCTAAGACTGGTCTGTTGTTTGTGCCCCCCACCATCGACCGCAAGACTGTTGAACTGCGACTTACCGACAACTTTATCACCATCATCCGCAGGAAAGACTTTTTTAACATGACTAGTTTGGTCCACCTGACCTTGTCTCGTAACACCATCAGCCAGATCACCCCCCATGCCTTTGTAGGCCTACGATCCCTACGGGCTCTCCACATGGATGGAAACCGTCTCAGTGTTATAAATAGTGACCACTTTAAAGGTCTGATAAACTTGCGGCACCTCATCCTTGGAAACAACCAGATCCACGAGGTGGCCCCCACCTCCTTTGATGAGTTTGTTTCCACTATAGAGGACTTGGATCTTTCCAATAACAACCTGCGCGGCCTGCCCTGGGAAGCCATAGCCAGAATGACCAACATTAACACACTCACACTGGACCACAACCTGATAGACCACATCGAAGTGGGCACCTTTACACTGCTCACCAAGCTGGTCCGCCTGGACATGACCTCTAACAGGCTGCACAAGCTGCCACCGGACAGCCTGTTCCAGCATGCACAGGTGCTGTCCGATGCCCGGGGCTCCAGCTCCTCCACGCTGGCTGTGAGCTTTGGTGGGAACCCTCTTCACTGTAACTGTGAGCTGCTGTGGCTCCGCAGGCTGACAAGAGAGGATGATCTGGAGACGTGTGCCTCACCAGAGCACCTCATGGACAAATACTTCTGGTCCATCCAAGAGGAGGAGTTTATCTGTGAGCCACCACTGATCACCAAACATCTTGCCACTAAGCCCTATGTGATGGAGGGGCAGGGTGTGACTCTTAAATGCAAGGCCGTGGGTGATCCAGACCCGGAGATCCACTGGCGATCACCAGACGGCAAACTGGTGCATAATAACTCCCGCACCATCCTGTATGATAATGGCACCCTTGACATTCTCATCACCACGCTGAAGGACAGTGGAGCATTTAATTGTGTGGCGTCCAATGCCGCAGGCATTGCCACAGCTGCTGTTGAGATCAATATGATCCCCTTGCCCTTGTTTGTTAACAACACAGGCCACATGCGAGAGGACCCCGGCCTCTCAGACATCACGACCTCCTCCAAATCTAGCAATGACACCAAGGGCTACGACAAGCAGGACAGGAGGGTGATGGTCACCGAGCTGACCTCCTCCTCTGCTGTGATCCGTTGGCCATCTGAGCGCCACATCCCTGGCATCAGGATGTACCAGATTCAGTACAACAGCACAGCAGACGATACTTTGGTGTACAGGTAAGAGGGTGGATGAACTGAGGGAGAGGAGGGTGGTAAAGCAGGGACACAGGTGAAAGGTGGGACATCTGGAGTTACCATCTGCTGAATGACACAAGGTCCATTATGGCAGATGCAAAATGATGAGATGTATCCAAAAATAAGCAGAACCCCTGTTGTGTAGTTTGGGGCATAAACTAATGAAGAATATTTTTTCCCATAAATTAAACGGCATTGTAATATGCACAAAATGTACAATACACTTACTTAGAGATTCAGCAAACAGTTCTTAATCTCTGATATTTGCATAGCTTGCAATCAGGTGAAAGGACCGTGGGGTCCAAAACCCTGAAGGCCTAAAGGGCCTCTTCAGCATCATTAAAACATAATATGATAATAAACAACAACATGTGGGCCAACACCACACATAAATGTTTGTATCATTAGCCAGTGTCTGCATTAATTGGCTGCAGCACAACATGATTCGATGTGGCTGTCTAATGACAGGCTTGGCTGCAGCGGTGGAAGAAATATACAGATCATTTAACTCAGTGTAAGTAAAAGTAGCAGGACCACACTATAACAATCCCTCATGACAAGTAAAAGTCCTGCATTCAAAATTTTCCTTCAATTAAAGTACAGAAGTATCATCATGAAAAAGTACTTCATGTATGAAAAATAAAAGTGCCTGTTCCACTTAAAAGATGAGTCTGATGTGTTAATATGCTGTATATTACATTATTAGAATGTTACTACTAAGGCATTAGTATGTTAGTAGCCTTTACATGTTGTAGCTGCCCGAGGTAGAAGTAGTTGCAACTACAATACTTTATATACAGCTTGGTAGTCCTGTGGCTCCCCTCCCCAAGGTAAATCTGAGAGGTCGTGAGATGATTAATGGAGCGGGAAAGGAGAAAAACTAACTTCTGCTACACAAGTCTGGCTTTTTTGAGAAGTGTTTGGTAACTTTACCCCAGTGAGCATTAAACTGTTACTTAAATGAAATCATTTGAGAAGGTTAGAGAGGAAATGTCTCAGCGGAACCGCTAACAACTCGCAGTCATGTGAAGCGGGTCTGTGAGGAACACCGGCTCCGCACTGCTCTTTATTTAAGGGGCTACTAGTCAAAACATCACTGGTTCGGTGTTTAACAGTGCACTGAGTTATACACAGCAAGTGTATAATTTTTTAAATTTTTGTCTTCACCTGAAAAGTAGCTAGAAACCACAGTTGTTAGAGTTTCCCTCTGAAATGGGCTGAAATGGAAATACAAGTACTTGGGTAAATGTTGCCACCACAGAATTATATTAGCAACTAAATGTAACTCACATATGAAAGTTAACATATTTATTATGCAGACTGGCCCCTGTCAGTGTTGTACTGTTATGTTAGTTGATCATAATTACCAGGTAAGTGCTACTTCAGTGTAGTTTGGAGAGGTGGAGCTAGTTTGAACTATTTCCTACACTTTTCAGTAATTAAATCGATGTCACTTTATCAGGTTTTAGATGATTGTGATGTGTTTTATATGTAAAATCTTAATCTGAAAAGTATCTTGTCAACTGAATGTAGACATTCCTCAGTATTGCTCTTATAGTATAAATGTACAAAGTTGATTTTCATCCCTACTTGGCTGCAAGAAAAATAGGAATGCAAGTGCAGTGTGCTAATAGAAAATTACAATATAATATAAAATGTACAGGTTGCACATTGGTAAATGTGAAGAAAGAGAACAGGGAAACAATTATAAACTGCTCATGGCTGTGCAAAATGAGCTCACTCTTTCTGAGCAAAACCTACCAAATACTGTTTTAAATAAAAAAATAAGTTTGAAGTGAGTGACATGCATAAAGTGAATTTAGTGTACCAGGAAGTATTTCAAGATTTATGTATTCAAGGAGGGAGTGACTTAATAATAGTGGTCGACTTTCTTTTATTACATATAATGAGTCTCTCTCCTGTATAATTTTCTCATCCAGTTTAGGCAAGGAGCTGAGTGTTGTTTTGTCTTCAGGTGGTGTATTATTACCTATGTAGTAATCTGATTATTCACAGAATCAGAGTGTTGGCAAAAGGGTTACACCTACAAATGATAACCATCGAAGGCCCCCTTTAGGGAAAAGGAACAAGCTTCTAATTATATTAACACCAGCGTTGACCTGAAGACAATGCTGTTCTCATTCGTATTTAAAGTCGTGTAATCTTGCTGTTGCTGAAAAAAACATGACCCTGGGTATTCACACATCCAAACTGTCTCCACGTCATGCCTCACTTATCCTGCAGCCGGCAGCTGTTTTGGCATATTGTGTAGACAGTGAGCCTCTTCTGCCTTGTTTGTCACACTGCAGTTTACCTTTCACTGTCATTTCAAACACAAACCCAACAGAGGAACTTCCCACTGCTATTTTATAATGTAATAAATTCTCTCCTAAGTCAGCTTTAATGAAGCGTGGAGCTTTTCATGTCTATCTACCAGAATGAGTAATATTTAATGCTGGAGTTGTGATGGCTGTGTTTTTGTTGTGGGGAACTGACACCTTTGTGTAATTTAATACACCTTATGCAAATGAGTATATGTGGGTGTTGTGATTGTGAAGATTAATCTGCCACATCTTCACCACCACACTGTTTTATTTTTCTCTGCAGGATGATCCCATCTACCAGCAAGAACTTCTTAATTAATGATCTGGCCGCAGGGCGGGAGTATGACCTTTGTGTGCTGGCGGTTTATGATGACGGCATCACGTCACTAACGGCCACGCGTGTGGTTGGCTGTGTGCAGTTCCACACGGCCAGTGAGGTCAGCCAGTGCCGCTTCATGCACAGCCAGTTCCTGGGAGGCACTATGATCATCATTATCGGTGGTATCATTGTTGCTTCAGTGTTGGTGTTCATCATCATCTTGATGATCCGTTACAAGGCCTACAGCAGCCCAGAGGACAGGAAGGCCAAGGTCAGCTCCAGCATGCACTCCCAGACAAATGGCAGCCAGCAGCGGCTCCAACGGTCAGCCTCCAAGCAGCCCTCCGACGAGGGACTGCATGAAGCCCAGGCACCTAAAGAGTGCATGGCGCTGGTGCTGCGGGTGGACAGTGAGAAGGAGGAACCAGGAGCCGCCAGTGCCATCCTTGAGGTGGAGCTGCCTCCGCTGACTATAGACAAGATAAAGAGAAGAACCAGCCTGGATGTACAGCGCTTTAGTGCCCTGTCTGAGGACACACAGACGGACAGCAGCCTGATGGGCTCCACCATGTCCCTGTGTCTCATAGGCTCTAACTCCGGCACCAACGAGGCTCCCAGGCTGAAAGACAAGAAAAGTGCCCTGGCTAACATGGGCTTGGTCCCTAATGAGCTGGCACGAACTAGGCACAGATTCTCTTTTGACGGTGGGGATTACTCCATATTTCAGAGTCATAGTTACCCACGCAGAGCGAGGACGAGGTGGCACAAGTCCACCAACCAGCTCAACATGGAGTCATCGCCGCTCACTAACAGGAGAGTTACGTTCAGCAGCACTGAGTGGATGCTGGAGAGCACAGTCTGAGGAGCGCAGTGCATCCGGAGACCGGCTCAGCCACTCACATAGCATACACACACCATACATCGCAGGCGGTAAACAGTAAACACAAGCAGATTTCTGTAAGTTGCTGGAGAGGAACAATCTCCCTTCATCCTGCCTCTGCATCATACTCCCAGAGAGGTTTGTTGGCCATGTCCTTTCTTTATGCAGCAGTGCCTTATGCTAAGAAATGCACGAATGGAGGATGCTGCTCACTGTAGTCATTAACAATCTATCATTGATAGATGATCTAGCTATCTGTCTGTCATTGCCTCCCACCCTGATGACGGGAAGCATTTCCTTGGATTTTTAATTTTCTTCTTTTTTCTGTGACATGCCAAGGGGGTGTGGAGTTTGGATGTGACTGTTTAATTGTTTAAGGAAAAAAAAAAAAGACAAAAACTTCATTGTAACTGTAAAGTGAACAGCCAGGTATCCTGTTATGTCAATCATGTTTTGGGTTCCTTCAAAAAAAAAAAAAAAACCTTTGCACAGAAGACACGAGATACAAGGACAAGTATCACCACCAGTCTATACAATAATAGTAGTTAAAAAAGAACTGAGTTTTACACCTGCCGATTTCTAATGTTAGCATAGAGGGGACAGACCTGGACACCGGGCGAGGATTCCTCTTCGAACTGTATGATAATAGGTATTGTTCCAGATGTGACTGTATATTAATCAGTACTGTATCTGGCTGGTCTAGATAAAAAGACAACAATCAAAAAAAGACATATATAAGTATATTAAAACATTGGTGTATGTGTACTAACTATGTAAGTAAGTCAGTCATATGTCACATGACTTTTTACAAAGCATTTGGGTGTTGGCTGCAAGTTTTTACATTAAAAACCTGTGTCATCACACCTCTCCCTATTTAGTATGTCAAAGTTTGGACCATTTATCCCCTCACGAAGGGTATTAAATTTTTTGTGTGGGTTAACTGTGTATCAGTGTTTTTTTCTCCTTGTGCCTCAGGAGCAGCGCTGTGTGTCCAGTGCAGGGAGGGACACACCAATCAACAGGATAAATATTTGATTTCTGAGTACTGTTTATAAGGCTTCTGTGAAAACCGCAGGATGACCACAGAGCAGAGTGGGCTCTGGGATGACGAGGGACATGATAACTGGAGGTCATGATGAACTCCAGTGCAGCCTGCTGTTATTAACAAAGGCGTAGGAGCTGCTGCCTACCACTAGGGGGAGACAAAGCTCTGTAAGGGTCCTAATTACTTGACAGCTTCAGTGAGGACGCATTAATTAATCCATTATTAGCAGAAAGCCTGAGTAGCAATCAGGGTTCATTTTGATAATAAACTCTAATTCCAGACTCTCTGAATATCTAGATCTAGAGCTGTTTAATTCATTCTAGAAAGGATGTTTTTTAAAGTGCTTAGCAATGTTTTTGTCTACAAATAGAATTCGTCCCGTGAAGCATTAATAATGAAGTTATTAACACAGCAGTAATCATATTTAATAAACAAATGAACAGATCCTCACAGGTAGGTTTAAAACTGTTGATAAATATATCCAAAAGTCCTGAAGACATTCTGAACTTTCAGAGCTGTCCCTCCTGGCCATTCATCAGCAAATGGAGCTGGCTCAGTTCTCATGTATCATAAAGAAGACAAATTCATACATCAAGAAATACTTCACTGATAAATGTAATAGAAAGCTGTTGTTGCAGAATTCCAACTGTATTATATCATAGCAGTTACAGGTGCTTTATAAAGGAGCTACAGATGGTGAGAAATCCATTTCTAAACACTTAAAACGTCCTTATATCTGCTCATAACTACATGATGTGTATAAATCATTTAAAATGTTTGTATACTGCACATACAGGTTGAATATAGGGGCTGAAATAACGAGTCATTGAAAAAAGGCAGGACAGTGGATGATGCGATCAGGGTGGATGGGATATTTGTTTGCTGTTATAGAAACCGTCCTCTCCTCCTGATTACAGCTACTTAACAGAGGCTGAGATGAAACTGAGCTGAATGGACAGCAGAGAGATAAAACATGCAGCAGTGAGATAAGCCACACAGGAGGATTTAGTCCTCTTCAATCTCCCATTTGCATCCTCAGTGAAGGAGAGGATTAAGTCCAGAAACAGATTAGCCCTCTTTTCTTTCTCACCACACTTAACCAGTTTTCAGTGTAAACCATTCACATTTTACATACACTGAGCTATTGTTTTTCCAGCTAGAGGCGACTTAACTTCAGGGTGTAAATGTTCAGCTGTCAATATGCAGTGCACACATTTTTCAACCACTGTCCACCTCCTCATTATCTACTGACGCTCTATAGTTTAGTGTGTGCCGCTGATCATTATTCACAGCAGAACTATTTCTACCTGCTCCAATCTGAAACCATTATTCACCACAAAATCTGCTTAGGTAGGAGGAGGCTGAGACTTCACCCAGTGTGCAGAATCGGCCCCGGACAGCCAAACTAGCAAACGCTAAAGCAAAGTGTGTTGTGTCTCATCAGCAGTTCTGAGTGACTTGACTTAGTGTGTGTTTTTTAACCGTCTGCTGAAGATCACATTTTTTAATGCAGAGTAATATATGTTTCAGTCTCTTCCCAACATGGGTATGAACAATGAACAATTTAAAGTTTTATCCAACCTACTCTACAATAATACTAATATCTTCTCTCTTTTATTTCAGCAAACCCTGTTTAATCTGTGCTGATGCAAACATTGTATCAGTTTTTTTTTGGTTGGCTGAGTTTTTCATAAATGAGAAAATAATACTTGCACACTGACTCCACCATATAATGTTTCAGTGCTAATTAAATCCTTGGGCTGCTAGTTCTGCCATACCCCCAGACACTACACTCGTTATGATTTTAATGCACATGGCAAATTATTTACTTTGTTTTAAAGTCTCTTTAAAATTAAGTAAATAAGACACTTTATACACAACTGTATCAGACTATTAAAATGTAAAAGTAAGAGATGTTAGCACAAACTTGCTCCCTATATGCTTTTTGAAAGCAACAGTATGAGTTATACATTATTTACTTATACTATACCAAGATGCAAAGCAGGACAATTATATTTGCATTTGGATTTATTTCTAAACAAGACTAATGAGTGTAAATCGATGGTAGCGGTTTTTGTGGGGCTGTACTGTTTTGAGCTAAATGCTATGTGGCATGCTGATGCTTAGTGGGCAGTATCTACTATGTTACCCTTCTTAGTTTGCCATGTTTACATGCTAACATTTACTCAAAGTAAATGCAAAGTCCAGGGATGAGCAAAGTCATTAGGATTCATCCTGTAGAAACTGTGCACGTCTATACAACTCCCTCCAGTTGTTAAGAGTCTGAATGATGTGGGGGACCAACCTGCACACCAACATCCCCAGTGGCAAAAACTATTATAAACACCCTGTACTGAGGAATGGCTTTTAGAAAAGCTACAATTTGAGGTGCCAACATATTTTTCATTATTGATATTGTGGCAAGAACAAAAAGGCCATTATTTCTTTCTTATTTTGTGAAGTACTTTATGAATCAGCTTTCTTAACCAGCTCTACACAGCTATGAAACAAACTTGGTTTAGGATTTTGCCCTCTTGCTAATTGCTTATTAACCTTGACAATATGTTTTTGAAGCCTCTGTCAACACTGATTCGACCGGCCAGCTTTCATTTGCTTTTTTTTTTCCTACTTCCAAGATCTGGGCAGTTGCAGCCAAGCTCAACACAGCCCACTCTCTGCTGCTTAGAGGGAACACTTAGCCTATTGACACAGACACAGCAAAGTGCTTCGGGCTGTTCCAGTACAAACACATTTTCAGAATGGTTTACCAACACTTCCTTCAGCATCAGATGATCTAAGAATACCCAGATGGCACAGGCCCACTACTTGTTACCAGGTTTGTTTAGACTTTTCTGTGTAAGCAATGCGAAATGTGACTAGCAGCACTGAAGATGATGGAAATATGGTTTGAATTGTACTCTTTGAGACCGTTACACTTGTATCAGTTGTTGTTTGTTTTAGTGCTCTCGGTGACTCTTCTAAATTCACCCAGAGCACCACATTACCGAAGCCACAAGGCCTTACAGGGGATGGCAATCTGCTACTATTCAGGGCAGAGCTGAACCACTGAGCACTCTTCCACTAGTACTGCAATGAAAGAGCACTTCTTCAAATGACTGCATTTATTCACTTTGATCATGAATAGCATCTTATTAAGATATATTTTCTGCATCATAAAAAGACGGCATGTTCAAACTGAACCAAGCAGCGTCTTTGATCCAGGAATAAAACAGACAAGAATAAAACATTAACAAAACATTAAATGCAGGTAGAACTCATCGTCCACATATGGCAAACTACACTGGTGTGATGACGGTATAAGTGGGAGATGTCTTTATTTATGCAACTGTTAACTGCACTGCAAAGGTTAGGAGAACATTAATTAAAGGGCAACCATAAAATAAAGACAGAAAAACTGTAAGTGTAATTTTCATACAGACCCTAAGTTACATCGAGCTTTGACTACACAGACAATACTAGTCAGATAAATTCACTGTTGGGTTTAGACTTTTTCATAGACTGGAAGAAAAATGATAGAATCTCACACTTATCCTTTTAAAAATGTATTTTCTGCTTTAATTTTGTAACAAAATCATTTAGAAATACAGCAAAATAGATATTTTTAAGCATTATTTATATTTTTTTTATATCTTTTTAGCTGTGACAATGTGGCATACAAATATTAAAATTTACAAAATAAACAGGAAACACACATTCTGTCATCAGCTGCATGATCACACTCTTCTTGTCTTAATAAAAAACTGGTCTCAGTCAGAGTGAGCCTGCAGCTGACAGAAGTCTTCATGAGCCAGGTGGTGGACTGCCCACCAGGCTTTGTCATGCTGCTTATACTGCTGTGCAATGTGTTTCAAGCACCGTAGAGGTCATGAGGTATTGCTTCACTGACAGCACAGGTTTGTTAATGTACACACCAGCTCTCTGTGCAGTTAAGGTGAACAAAGGACCCTGCAATAGCTCCTATGGTCGCTACCTGAGCTGCGGGTTTGTCTGCATCCGAGCATCTCACTCTGCAGAACTGTCATCTGAGCTCTCCTCACCTGCTGCTTTCCAATTTTTCCTCCTCTTCTTTTTTGAGTCCTGCCCTGAGTCTGAGTCTTTGTGGGGATCCTGCTTTCGCTTTTTGCCTCTGTGAGTCCTTCTCTCCCTTTCTCCACCGTCATCATCACTGTCTACTGAGCTGCTGTCCTCTGCTCTCTCTCTGATTTTCACAGGTTTCTTGTTTTTATGTCGACCTTTAGTCCTCCTCCTCCTCTGCTTGGCCCTGGTAGCACTGCTGTCATCACTGCTGTCACCGCTGCTTAGGCACTTAGCTTTCTTTCTCTTCTCTTCCACGTCTTTCTTCTTCTTCTTCTTTTTCTTCTTTCGAGTTGTTTTTTTGGAGCGCTTCACTAAACTTGCTTCTGTGTCAGACTTGGACTTTTTCATTTTATGGCACCCAGTCTTCTTTGAGGTGCTGTTTTTTTCACTACAAAATAAATGGTCAAAATTAACATAGGCTAGACTGAGCATTGGCAGGATATTAGGAATGAAATATTGATCTTAAAGGGGCAGTCCACTAATTTTAAACATCAACATTAGTTTACTTGTCTTAAGGAGTACTATCCAGCCTATGAAAACAGCTGTTCAATGTGTACTGAGGCTCTGGTGGAGCTTTACAAAGTCTGGAAAAACTAACCATCCATAATATTATAAGGGCTGTCTCAGCTTTGACTTGGACAGCTTAGTTTTAACCAGAAAACTGGTTTGGGTTTATAAAACTCAGCGTATACCTGGCAGGATCTAATGCTGTGTTTATGTTATATGGAATAGATGGCAGACATGCTCATGGTTGCCATGTTAATGACTTGCATTCACATCACAGTGTAACACCACATCCATTACATTTGGCTTTAATTACTCCGACTGCAGCTGTTGGCTGGTGTGAAGAATCCACACTTGTTTAGTTTTCAGGTGCGTCCATATTTGTAAGTGGCACACTGAATATCAGAATCAGAATCTGTTTTATTGGCCAGGTGTGTCGGACATGTAATATAACAAAATAAGCAGTATTAAAAAGCAACAAACAATGCAAAATAAGCAGTATTAACAGGCAGTAAACAATGCAGACAGACAGAGGAATGCTCATTGAAATGAGATAAATAGGAATAAAAATTTGAGACCTGTATGGATGATATGTCAAAGCTTTTAAGAAAAACCAGAGTTTCCCAGACCAGAATGATAATTAACAAGTCAGAAATCCCTAATTACAATAACTCTGGTATGATGCAAACACAGTGTAATAAAGATGCTATTAAACTGCATGATGGGGAAGTGTGAAATACAGATTTTTTTTTGAGGCAATAATAGTCAGGATATATCAACCTCTTCAGCATCATTTTTGGCAATTTTTAAAAAAAATCATTCTCTCACATGACTCCTAGCTTTGACAGCATACTGCTAAACTGCTACATTAAAGTTCCCCCTTAAAATCTGAGGTGCATAATGTATGTAGCTCAGTTCTTCTTGTTTGGCAAGTCTCGCATTTTTACTTACTTGTCACTGTCAAACTCCTCGGGATAAAGCTCCTTGAAGCCACTATGTCCCCACCTATGATGTGAAACATGAAATGAAAATTTGTCAAGCTTGTCTAAATCTCCAGTAAACAGTTAACTTAGTGTGGATATACTGTATGTGCATTCCACCTGATAAATAGAGCGCAAATTAGGAGGTCAATTCACCATTAAGAAATCAGCCCCTCTGACACTCCCCCAAAATGTGCAAAAAAAAAGTAAACCTATTTAGACAATTTTAATGACGTAGTCATATGCTGTACCTGTCAGGATCATTTGCCTCAAATTCATACAGTTTGCGAGTCCAGTATCGAGTGTCTCTGTCATCATGTTCTGAGATTCGCTCTTTGCTTCGATTCAGGTCTCTAGGTTGATCTAGCTCTCGATCGCAGTGCATATCCCCCCTGGAACACAAGAAATATCAACAAACCAGCAAGCCAACACACATTATGAAACACATTGCCAAATGAGCTTTGGTGTCTCGTGTTCAGGTGACTCAGATTAAACCGGGACATTGACTCTTCCTACCTGACACACTCTGATAAATGTTTGCTGTGGGACCTTTGGACTTCCCGGCCTCGCATTTTCCACATTTCTGACTCCTCCTGGATCTGAGGTGGGCCAGCAACAGTACGTACATTAAAGACTATCCATGCATACACACACTCACTATCACTCACATATTTTAAATGCTTTACTTAAATCTGCCAGTAGCATTCAAGTATACATGATTCAATACAGCTTACCTCAGGGATTTCTGTAACCAGGGCCTGACACTAGATCAGTTTATTGGAAAAAAGCTTAATCTATGTAGGCTAGATGACAAGAAGCCTAGAATAAAATTCCTCTTCAGCCCTCATATACAAATACATGAAAACCTGATGTTGCAGTTACTAATGGAAAGCTTGCTTCTCTGACATGACCTGAAGCAACTCTGAACAGTTTCAATAAAAACTAACGATTATAACCTTCATCAGGGCAGGACGTACTGCTGTTGCATTTGATTGCATCAGTTTTAACTAGATACGGTGTTAAATAGTCTTATACTTGTATAGCGCTTTTCTATGCTTTACAGCACACTCAAAACGCTTTCACGCCATTTGGCCATTCACCCATTCACACTCACACATTCACACACCGGTGTTATCACTGGGAGCAGCTGGGGGGGTTCAGTGTCTTGCTCAAGGACACTTCAACATGTGGACTGGACGAGCCGGGAATCGAACCAGTTAATACTCCAGTTAGGAAATGACCCGCTGTACCTGCTGAGCCACAGCCGCCCCCAATTTTCCTAAATAGATGCTTTTCAAACCCACATCAAAGAGGTTCTTAGCTCTTTGGCAAAGTACTGATTTAAGATTTTTTTTTGTCTTTTATCCATTACGTTTACAATAAGCAACATTATGCAGCCAACCAATAACCAACTCATATTACAATAAACAGAATACTTACAAAAACAAATCTGCAAAAAGCTCAAATTAAGTACTTGTTAACCACTGAAGGCATAAAACACCTAAGGCAAATCAGGACAAAGAAAAATACAAAAGGAAATCACCACACATAACCTTACAAGACTTATGATTGCAAAGCAGATGTGCAACAAAATGACAAAATCTATAGTAACATTTTAGGTGGTCCATCTGTAAAGACAGCAAGAGATTTCAACATCACAGGCGTTAAAACCTGCAGTACTTTTTCCTGTTTTACTGAGAAGATTTATAGCATAGCAATAAAAAAGAAAAATAAAATCACAGTGTTGGATGCTAAATATTGTTTTTCCTTGTAACACTGATTTAGAAAGCTGTTACTACTGTAGAAAGTTACGGTTGATACGCTTCCATTTTCTGTTTCTGCTGAGTTTCAGTGGGTATTAGGCCTTGTGTGTTTTGTTGGTTTTGAACGAGACTTGCAGCACTCTGTCCCCAAGGGGATATCCATTCAAGCTGGCAATAGCTACACCTGCCTCGTCACAGTTGATCATGGTGACAAACCCTAATCCTTTGCACTTGTTTGTATTGAAGTTGTGAATAACCTTGACATTTGTGACAGCACCAAACGGCCCAAACATCTGCCAAAGGATGCTTTCATCTGCATCTGGAGCCAGGTTGTAGACAAAGATACACCAGCCAGTTTGTGCGTGCCCTGGGACGTAGATGCCAGCCAAGCTGGTCACCCCATCAATAGCCATAGGAGAGAACCTTTTGACTCCATAGGCCATGTACAGCAGACTGTCCAATCTGAAGCGTTGTGCCTGCTGTGCTAGGGGTCCTGGGTACCTTCGATTGTGTGACTGATAGAGCTGGGACAGCAGCGCCTAGCTGGTCTGCTGGCTCGGATTGTTTGCAAACTTCACTGTAACGGGCTCGGTGGCACCGGGCGGCTTCTAACAGTTCGGATCCTTTATGGCCTCCTCAGCCTCAATTCGCCGATCAAAACGGATGAAGCCCACTCCTCTGGAAACACCAGTTACCTGGTCCACCAGAATGCGTGAGGTAATGATGCGTCCATACTGAGAGAAGAGCTGTTCCGGTTCTTTCTGAGAACTGATGAATTGAATTGAACTGAATGTAGGTAATTAAATGGCAACTAAGTCCAGCATGTGTCCCACTTGTCACAAAAGCACACAAACTCAAACCCACCTTATTGAGGGCGTCTGTTTGGCGGATTACATTCCTCAGCAAAGTCTTTCCGGTCGTCTGCTTTGACATGGCGACACCTGACATGGGGCACATGTATCTAAGTCAGGACCAGACACAACTCAACGATGGTTAATAAACCTAAAGTTAATGGTGATAAGTGCTGAGCCAATAACTTATCTTCTATACATGATAGCTGTTAGGTTACATTAACACTCACATATTAACCTAGCTTGCTAGCTAGCACTGTTTGATATGTCGATACAAGAATACAATAAAAGAATGAACCTGTTCAAAACCTAATGCTTTCAGCTTCTCTAAACAGCATAACACTGCTACTACACTGTAACATTATTATTTTGTAAATGTGGACAAGCTGTACCCTTCCGAAACGAGTGGCATTCAAGAATAACAAACAAGGATTACGACCTCTGCCGGTACATCCGCTTTCCTAATGTACGTAATGTCGTTGCACACTCACGTCACTGAACGTCGGAAAAACTGATTGGTGAAATGGCCCGTCAATCATCGCGCTGGAAGCCTTGCATAGCTTGTGGGTATTCAGCAATGCAATTTTTTTTAGCAATAAAGATAGGATACACTGCTTAAGATAGGATACACTGTTAGCTGAATATGAATTATTTAGCCATATATTATCCATACGAAGATTAAATGTCTCCCTATTCTGTTATTAAGATTACAAACTCAGGAGGTTGTGCAGCCTTGGCAAGGTTGATTATTTTCAGATCATTTGAGTGCACAAAGTGCAAAGTGTTATTTAATTCACAAATAGTTTGGACAATAGCTGATATATATTGGCAGAGATTAACTTCCGCTCATCTTCCACTCACCCCAGTGCCGCCTCCCAAACATTCAACCTAATAAACAGCCACACATTTCTTTTCTGAATTGTATTTGGCAACACAGTGGGATGTGATTCCCAAAGTCTTATCTGTCTGTGGTGCTTCTCTGTTTGAAGGTCACTGAAAAAAGATGGGTAAATCTTTTTTCACAGCAGGCACAATTATAATTTACAAACAATGCTTTATTTTAGTAACTCATTTGATTTGCAAATTGGCTGCATGCTATCCCTGTGGCAAACAGGCTTTCTTCTCAGACGACTATTTCGTGAAACCAGAGTGCTGTGCAAATGACAAACATCAGGATATTTTAGTCACTTCAGTTCAATCAGTTTGATTCATTTAATTCCAATGATGTGATGCGTATTAATAAATTAAATTTAATTTGATTACAATGATTATAATATATTGCTATAATGATTATGTATAAACCAGCAGTTTGGGAAACTTAAGTAATTGGTGTCTTGTCAAAGGTCAGAGGAGAAGCTCTGTAACTGTAGCTCATACCAGTCAGTCTCTGTGCTAAATATGAAGCTACAGCCAGCGGTATATTAGCTTAGCTTAGCATAAAAACTGGAAATAGATGTAAACATAATGTGCTGAGATGTTATGGTGATTTTCATTTTAATCCACACATAACATAATACAACAGTTTTTAATTGTTTTATCAATACAGTAGTGAATACTGTAATTTAATGATTAATTTTCTAAAGCACTATTGTTTTAAACATTATGCTATTAAACATCAGTTGTGTATTCATATAAACCAAAATCACAAAGCATTTTTTTTTGTACAATTTTGAAGTACTTGCACTTTACTTCACATGAGTACCGCCATTTTATGCTACCTATTTATTTATTCAGGCTACACTGTACTGCTCTGCTGCATTTCAGGTGAAAGTTTTCTAATTTCTACTCCACTGCATTTAATTTAAAGCTTTAGTTAATTCAGATTATACATACAAAGTATGATCAACCAATAAGTTATTGTGAAGTACTACAGATTAAACAGCCAAATATAAGCAGTAAAACTAGCCCTGCTTTTACCAGCGAAAACATTAAAGTGATTCTTACAAATAAATGCATCAATAATTGCATTCAACTAATATCTTTTATTTATAAATGGGCTACTTCTGCATAACAAATACTTTATGCACATTCCGATGCTAGTATTTATGTACTTTTACCTAAGTACTATAGTAGTTTAACTTGTAACAGAATTTGTACACACTAGGCTACTGCTACTTGTACTTTAGTAAAGAATCTGAGTACTTCTTCCACTGCTGCTGAAAACATTGCCTTTGCTTCTGCTGTTTTCCTCTGGTGGGCTACATACATTTTCATGGCTCTGTATTAAATGTACATTGGAGCGTGTGCTGATGGTGCTTATATAGAATTGAAGACCCACTGCCATGTAGAGGTCTGTTTCATATTCTTGCTGATGACACTGGCAACATTTCTATCAGGTTAATGACAGCATGCTCAGCCAAAATGCCTTTCAAGTGAAGGCTTAACAGCAGCAGCACATGTCAGAGAAAGCCTTTTGTTTCTGCTGCCAACAGCTGAAATGATGAAGCTGATATGTGGTTCCAACAGGCTATTCTAGATCATTTTCTAAGTAAATTCTGGTTTTAGGGCTTTCTGTTGCAGCTGCAGTAAAAATGCTGTTCGCTAACCATGAATACTGTGAAAAGAGCTGTAAGCTGTAGGCAGATGTACACATTCTGAAAATACCACATTGTGTATTTATTTCCAAGTACCTCCATACTTCCTCTGACTATGTAAATGTACTAATCTCTCTTTCAGCTCATGTTATTGTTGTGCAAGCTTGTGATTTTGTCAACAATCTAACACTTTACCACATAGATTTTCATGTATCTTTCTAGCCATATGCTGGTTCTCATTTTGCTCTAACTGCGGTGGCATACAGAGAGAATGTGAAAACCTCCCTCCTCCTCCTGGTGAAAGAAGAGAGCAGTGGGGATTGGAGGGAGGAGGAGTGAGGGAGCGTGGGGAGGGTAAACACACCCAGACAGAGCCTTCTGACATCCTGGTTCATGGAAAGAACCAGGGACTGATACAAAGTCAGCACGATCGACCAGAAGACAAAGAGGGGAGGAGGGAGGGCAGAGAGAATAGATGCAAAAAGACCGTCAGAGAAAACCTGGGGGGAAAGATGCACAAGAGCTGCATCAGTTATTGTTCACAAGGAACAAAAAACAATGTCTCCGTGAATGGGAGCTGGTGAGCTCAACCACAAGGCGAGTGCAATGAGCAGCCAGGCAGATTTCAGTGGCTGGTGCTGCTGAGACCCAATCTTCTCTCCCTCTGTCTCTGCCAGCTAGGACTGAGCCTCGGTATGATTCAAGGGAAGGGTTAAGGGCTGTTGATTAGGAATTGGAGCTTAATGTTTTAGTAATGTGCTGCTGGAGAGGATTTGAATGTGCTGTTATTTCAGATTAAACACAGCGTGTGGCGTGGAGACTCCTCTGGTTTCTGCTTTCAGGGCTGCTCCCCTCCCTGCTGCCTCCGGCTGTGTTTGAGCTATGGTCCTGACTGGGAGGCAGGGCATCACCCAGATGCAGGACTCTGACTGTATGGGAGGTTAAGCCTGTAAACACCGCCATGGGAGCCAAACAGATGAAATGGTAAGAGCTGTTTTCTTTTAAATTCTTCTTGTTATTTTAACATTGTGTCAGACAGGATGCTTTTTTTTGTCTGCAATGCATGAGTGCAACAGTGGCACAGATAAACAATGCATGAGGCCTAAATTTAGGAGACCGGACATTGTTGTAATCACCTTGACCAGCATGTGTGTCTCAGCCTCAGTGCTGCAAATGCATTTCACCATAACAGCATGACACTAATATGCAAAATGGGCAGGTTATTGTTCGGTGTTTACAGTGCAGTAGGTGTGGGTGTGTCCCTGTCTATGTCCGTGTGAGCTGAGCTGCTATCGCCTAGCAACCACTGTCTAACTTCCATTACTGGCTCTTCCGTTTCACCATTTGGATGGAGATTATAGATTATAAATTATATTAGAGCAACAAATATGAAATGTTGGTTTTGGATTCTAAACATATTCTATAATGCAGCCATATTTTCCAAGATTTGGTATTTACCAGACAAGCCAACTACAGTATTGTATTTTGAACTAGTGCTTAAAAATTACCTGCTAAATAAAAGTCTGCTCCAGTAACTGTTTAATGTGCAAACTCCTCATGCTGATCACCAATGGTGGAAGAAGTACTCAGGTATTTAGGTCAAAATACCAATACAATATAAAATACTACCCTACAAGTAAAAGTTTTGCAGTTCAAATCCCACTAAAATAATTTTTTCTAAGTAGTATTATCAGCAAAATGTGCTTACAGTATCAAACATTAAGGACCTCATGATACAAAAAATGTTCCCCCGACTGATATATTAATATCTATAACATCGTTAGGGTTATAATACTAATGAATTAATGCATTTGCAGCATTTTACTGTCAGCTGACTGAAGAGAAACTGTCCAGGTCAGAGGGGTCATCAGAAAATCAGTGCGGAGATAAGAAGATAAAGTTATTTGTATTCATTTTTGAGCCTCTATCTAGTCTTTGCTTTTCTGTGAAATATTAGCTCATGTTAGCTCTGCATTGTGTACAGTATGTTATTATAAGATTCTTATGTTTTTAACGTAAAATCCTAATTCTGGAAGGAAACTAGGAACTATAGTTGTCAGACAAATGCAGGGGAGTAAAAAGCGCAATATTTTCTTCTGAAATGTAGAGGAGCAGAAGAAAGGATAACGTAGCATAAAATGGAAATACTCAAGTATCTCAAAATTGCAGCCCTGGAGAAAATGTATGTAGTACCTTTGTACCACTGCTGATCAAATGATGTTAATCTGTTGCACTGAATCTTATCTGTTGCAAATCCCAGTGCTTAATCTGTGGCTTAACCCATATGGCCCAAATCTGTCAGTATATGTATGTTTCTTTTGGTGAAACAGATCAGCAGTGAACATCTTAAGAAATGTGTTAGTGTATTGAGCTGCACCCTGAGACAATGATAGATGGTATCTCCATAATGTCATTGACTGCAGTAACAAGATTAGCAAGGAGAGGCTTCTTTGATCCCCTTTGGAAAAACACTAATCACAGCAGCATCTGACAAGATGCTCAGCTCATGTTTTCTGTTACTTTGTGACCTGATACTGTGACTCTTCCTGAGGAGCAGGGAGGACCTTACTATCAGAGATTTCTCAGTGTGGCAATGTTAGCCACTCAGTATTCACTGGACTAGACTCTCCCAAATTCAAAGTTTTTCCTTAGGCCATGCTAGTCATGTGCTAGCAGCAGGGTGGCAGTTTTGGTCTGTCAGTGGGTTGGGTCCAAACTAAAACAGCTCAACAGCTTTTGGATAAATTGTATGAAATGTAGTGCAAATATCAGTGGTGCCCAGACAATGAATCCTAGTGATCTTTAGTGATCTTCTGACTTTTCCGCTAGCTCCATTATCAGGACAAAATATACCAGTATTTTGGTTTGAACTGAAATACCCGCATAACATTTTCATCAGTGTAAGGGGTAGTTACTGTAGATTAAAGCAAAAAGAAACCAATGAAAATGTCTCATAGAGTTAAGTGGTAACCAGTTAAGTTTGTCACAATGATATGCAAGATAAAGACACCTCAAGACAAATGTTATTGTAAGCTACATTTCAAGGATGAAGATGCCTTTTAGATGTTGTTTGCTATATGATCACAGGCAATAAAAGCTGTGGACTGGCTGCTATTATACTGTGAGACCTGCGTTACTTTTATGTATAATAATAACTTTCCTGTGTGGAGACATATCAATGAAATGTGTTTCATTCTAATTCATAAATGTTAGCATGCTGACTTGTTAAATGTGATCAGCATGTTAGCTCTGCTACTTTAAGCATTTAGAATGTTGACATTGATCTCCAAGTTTTGCCTAAGTGCCTCACAGCTACACTGTAGTAGATTGTTTACAGTGTGTGTGGTGGCTGAAAGACAGAACGTACAGTGCAGTAGGTGTGTATTATACTGCTACAGTATGTCACAGGAGTAAGTGCATAATTGTTCCATACAAAATCAGTGTGAACTCAAAAGTGATGCATACTGTAATGCAAGCGTTGCTGTTTACTGTCGGTTGTGCTGATTGAACAATGCTATTAGATAAGCAGAAAATCTCATCAGCTATGATTAAAGTTTTGCTTCATACGTATGGGAAGAACATAACTGTGCAAGTGCAATCCCTCATGACATTCTTCTGCTTCTACACACAGTACTATCCACCAGTTAAGTCCCCAGTTATTCTTCTCCTTCTTAGTTTTTCAGCTTCCAGAGCAGGGTGGTGAACTGTGATGCTTTTCTGTCCCTTTGCTAGCACAAAGTTTACATCTGCCTCCACAGAAGCAGGTGTGTTTTTCCATGCGGACACGGAGGGAAAAGGAAGGAATCTGCCATTAAAGGACCATTGATAATGCCACAGGTCACAGGTCACAGGTCATAGGTCACAGTAGCTGTATCCTGTTTCTACAAACACAGCAAAGTGAAGATGAGAGCAAGCCCAAACCTCAGGCTGCTGGAAATGTTCTCAGAAAACCCAGCACATATATTCATACAAGCTGCAAGAAATCCAGCTATTCAAAAACCATATGCACATCATGTTCTGAAATTATGGCTGAAGGGGGAGCAAACTATGTAAAGAATTTCCTGTGGGAAAAATGACACAGTTGGATGCACTCCTGCATCTGCTGCGTATTTTCTAAACAAGTTTCAACCCTGTGCTTTCATTCATTTTATTCTTGGCTACTCTGTAATATTGTATATTCCCATAGGCATTGCATGTTTTAAAATATTTAACCCAGATGTTATTAATTCATATTTTGTCTTCAGTAGAACGTTATCTTGTGTAGCTAGGTTTCTGTATTGCTGCTCATTTGGCAGGAGATTCAAACAGTCATTCCTTCCTGTGCCCACCATCTGTTTCAGCCTGAGCTCAGCCAGCCCTGTTCACTCCCCCAAAGAAGAGAACCTTATTAGCCATCCCACTGACACCTCTAAAGATGAAACGGTCCATGATCAGTCTAAGGACCAGGGGGAGCCCCTAGATGAAAAACCTGGGCTGACAGAGAAAAAATCTGTCATAGGTTGGTTGACCGCGCATCAGCTCCTACGAGATACAATGCATTGAATCTCCCTGGTCTCATTTTCAATGTTCCCCTCTTCTTTTTAGAAGAGGTGTCTCTCTGTGGATTCTGTCCCTCCCTCGGGCATGATGGACAGGATGAAGGGAAGTCCTGGGAGGAGCAGCTGGACGCCCACCAGGAGCAGTTAGAGAAGGAGATGCATGAAGCCAGGAGGATGGTGTTCCGCCTACAGGTAAGTTTGTGGTGAAACCACACTTAAAACCAAACTGCACCACGAAAACGTTGGCAGAAGGCAAACTGCAGATGCATCAGACGACAGTTGCAGCTCAGGAGTGAGAGAGACGGAGATTTTAGCCTGGTTCCACACTTCTGATCCTCTGCCCATAACATCCATGTTTTTCAACAGACCACATTGTTTAATTAATAGTGATAAAATGAATGATTAAAAGATAGATTCAAATAGGTGGAAAATAGCATTTTCTTTCTGACTATCAGTCCAATGAGATTAACACCAGATTCTCTGTTGCTCAGTTGTAATATTAAACAAAGGAAGTACATGCTGCGTCCCTGTAAAGGTTACAGTTTAACCAAACTGAAATCATTGACATTAGGAAGATCAAGGTGCTTCATCAAAGCACCTGCATGTTATTCATTTCGGTTCAATTCATTTTTTATTATCTAGTACCAGTTCACAACAACACTCATTTCAGGGCACTTTGCATAATCACTATTATACACTATTATAAGGAAAACACACAAAAAGACCCTTGAGCAGCACTTGGCGACAGCGGGGAGGAAAAACTCCCTTTAAAAGAACAAACCTCCGACAGACCTCGGCTCTTGGTGGGCGGCCTTCTGCCTCGACCGGTTGGGGTGAGTGGATAGAGGAGAGAGAAAAGAAGAAAAGCAAGACACAACAAAGACAAAACAGACAAACAGAGGTTAATGTGGCCCATTACTGCTCATCAGAAACATTCAGCTCAGGGCTACCTGCAGAAGGGTACGGGGAGATTCTGAATTTCCTCCAAATATTTTCAGGCTGACCATCTAATGTCTCTTCTTCTACCAATGCACAGGCTGGCTGCCATTCACCAGTTCATTCAAGTGTATCTCTGTGATATTAATGTTTAGGTCACTGACTGGTTTCTTCTAATACAGTGGAAATGAAAGAAACATTTGGATTATTTCCGAAATATACAAATAATCTTTGAATTTATTGTAATATTGCCTTAATATGCGGTATTATATATTATATACAATCATGATGTTATTTACATTCATAGTTTATGAACATGCTTTTTGTATGTATATATACACAAACTGTTTACTATTTGTTCACATATATTTGTTGACAATTTGTATTTGCTGTAATTTATTAAACACGTTGAAAGATGTACATGTGACCATAGCTTTCACGTAAAGAAAGACGAGGAGTTGTGGCTTGTATGAAACTACAGTCAGTGGTGTAGCTAAATCAAGTCAATGCACAGTATTTAAAAATAGATGTGTGAGCTGACTTTGACAGAAATAGCTTTCCTTGACCACTACACACAGAACACACACACACAAACACATGGCCAAACTGAGAGCAGTGTTTCTGCTAAGCTGCACAGCTCTGTCTCTGTCTCCAGCTCTCTGACTCACCACCTACAGCTCAGATTTGTTCAGAAATTCAAATGAATGAAGAGAAACAAAACACAGTGGTTTACAGATATTTTAGACTTCACAGTGATCCTCAAGGATTTATATGGATGTATGTACTGTAGTCACACACGTAGGAAAACCAAAGAAGCCAAAATAAAATAAGCGGGCAACGATGCTTGTTCCCTGGTAACTGAAATCAAGCAAATGCAATACAGTAAAGAAAATATGGCCAAAATAACAAACAATACAAACAAGTGCATAGTTACTTAAAAGTGGTCACCAGTAATTTAACTGACTTACATTAGTTGTCTTCTGGATTCAGACTGAATATCAGGGGAGAGTTTTTGTTTCCAGACTTTGAATGTGTTTGTGTGTACGTGGGTAGGTGAGAGATTGAAGCCTGCGTATATGTCTGCGAGCTTTTCACTTTGATTTCAATTTGATTCAGTTCAGTTCAATTCAAATGACTGGCTTTGTTGGCTTAAATGGAAAGCTGTTGTGCAGCCAAGTATAAAAACACAGGACTGCTGTATTTACAAATACAAATGCCGAATTTTATCAGGCTTCTCTGCCATGTATATGTGATTAGCACAGCTTACAGGCCACCGCTCTGTGTCTACATATGTGTGTGTTTTTTGTCCTCAGGCTTTGCTGCTCCACGGCTCCCTCCCCGAGGAGGACCAGGATGGATCTGGGAGCGTCGGAGATAACCGGACTAACGCTGAACAGCAGCTGGTACAGTGCCTGCTCTCTGCTAACTTGAGAAAACAGCACTTGATCCCTGCTCTGTGTGAAGGGTCATTGTCAGCCCTTCTGCTGTGATGATGTGTGCAGCCATCACTTGTCTAGAGAGTGGCTACCACAGAGCACAAATGAATCTCTCTGATCTGCTAGCCTGCTGTCATGCAGGCCCACTGCCTCCTCATATGCTCTGACATTTTTCCATTCTCTAATTGCACTGCTCATGCCCTCTCCCTTTGAAGGTTCTAACCCGCAGTCGTCTGGACCAAAGCATGGAGGAAGTCCTTGATCTCAAGGTACAGTGAGTAAATATAATTGGGTTTAATATGCTGTAGATGAACTGCTTTATTTCTGTAATCTCTCTGTGCATTTGTGTGGCTCTTAGAGGGAACTGCTAAGACACAAACAGGAGACGCGCCACATTCAGGCCATCAAGGTAAACCGCTTACTTCAATTGTCTGTTGTGTGTGAATTAAATCAGATCGAAAGATAAAACTGAATCGCTTCTGCTCGTGTAACCTCCCAAAATGATGATTCTACAGTTTCCATCATACACAATATATATTTTTCATTCCTCTATAAAGATGATAACATTTAAAAGTGCTGTAGGTGTGTGCTGTCAATAAGGCAGGTGGATGCAATATAAATAAGTATTCAGGTCCTCTCTGGACGTTTCTTTAATCAGCCTCTGCTTCTCATTAGGATGCTCTGCAGCAGCGCCTGGCAGTGCAGGAGGATGCTGTGCTGCAGCTAAAGCAGGAGCTACTGAGGTGCAACATGGCCAAAGATCAGCTGGAAGGGGAGAATGTGAGACAAGTGATGATTTCAGTTTGAGATGATAAAATATGTGTGAGCAATATATCACTCGTATGTCACGTTCATTTATCTGTGTGCAGACAGAGCTCAAATGCAAGTTGAGCGAAAGGAGCAAGCTACTCAGTGAATATGAGGTATCGTCTAACTGTTTATTCTTCAATGCATTGTTTAGATACATATAAACATATAAAGACTTAGGTCATCCATCTTTTTGTCACAACAGCAGCAGCTCGGGAAGAAGGACAGAATACTGCAGCAACAAAGGCTCGATGAAGCTCAGCATAAAGCACATGATGGCAGCCTTGGACGGGTGTGGATCATGACATGTTTCAAGTATTTCCACAACATATGTTTGGCTGTAAATCACAGATATGAAAATAGTGAATTGTAAAGTTTTCCATAATGCACTTTTGAAAGCCAAAGTAATCACAAAAGGCAACACATAAAAATATTTCAAAGTCCAATTTGGTAACAAAACATGAACAGGTAAAACCAATACTAGAAATATAGAATAATTAAAAAGAATTTAGGTAAATAATCAAATTTAAAAACTCTATAAAACAAGTACATTTTAAAAAGAGATTTGGATTTTGGGTATTCTGTATTTGTACACTTGACTTTACATGTTTGAAATTAATACTTTTATTTTGTAAAAGGTGAATCCATTTCCTAGCACGGCCAGGCACTGAAGTCTTTGTAACCACAGTAGAGCGATGCGTTCCTTGGCGACTACTTTCTAGTGACTATTTCTTGCAGCGGGATGATGTAGTATGTGAGATTGACTCAAAATAATTCACTGTTCCCGTGTTCATTGTAATGAAGAAACATGTCAGCCGATGCAACAGTGTGGCTCCCTGATGTTTTTGGACAACAATAGAGGCGTACAGCTCTTTCAGGCTTTGGCTACTGATTTGATTTTCATGGCATTTGTTGATGAGAAGATAATTATAGACAATCATCAAATGAATCCTTCAAAAAATGAGCCTCACTCGGCCATTTTTACATAATTACATATATTGTTGTTCATTTTGCAGTCGTTCAGGAGTGACAGTGGTGGTTACAGTAACTCTGTGGCTTCGACTACCCCTCCAGCCTTCCAGCACAGTGCACCAGTATGTGCCCTTTTTGTAATAATAATATCAACTGCACCTTTATGTGTTGATTTTGATTTCTTATTATGTAGAAGCTCAATTATGGAAGGAAAAGAAAAACTGATTAAGTTATTGATGTAAATTGTAAATCAGATTTACTGTATTAGATTGTTTGAATGACAACAGAATCCATCAAAATGATGACTTATGAAATAATATGTCAGTTATTGGGTCAGGATTATATGACACAAATAAGATATTTTGCCAAAATATTGACATACTGACCGAAATTCAACTCAATTCTGAACTAGTGAGTATAATCATTGACATGAGTATTTTGATGTTACCATTTTTACTTTTAGATGCTTTTTTCTTTTAAAAGACAAAAAAAATTGGGCACCCATACTTATTAACCTAGACATAAAAAAAAGCCATACAGTAAAAAATGTGTGATTATAGAGAAGCTGTTTGTCACAGGGTGAAGAGCTACAGCTGGTCAGGGAGGCCTTGCGTAGTTTGAGGGACAGTTTTTCTGGCCACGACCCTCAGCATCACACCCTGGACACTCTGGAGCAGGGTGTGTCCAGTCTCATGGACCGATTACACTCGTTGGACACCCAGTGCAGACAGGACAGACGGGTACACACTCTCACAAACACACGCCCACCTAAAAAGTAGCAATACACCTGTCACCTGATGAATGATGAGTCAACAACAAATGAATCTGTCTACTAGGAGGAATTTAAATCACCAGGACGCAGAGCCAACTCCACAGACCGGGACTCCTGGCCGCCGAGCTCAAGTGAGACAAACAAAATCCTTGTTTTGTTTGGGCTTTGTCGTCCTCTGCGACATCTCATATTGGGCTGTTAAATCTAATTGTGCCTTTCCATTACACTGCTATTGAGGGAGAAGGCATTATTATCATGACTGTTGAGGTTGGAACCATTTTAGAGTCTGGCTGTGAAAACCTTTTTTTTTATTATTATTTCCAGAAATGGCGCATTCGCACAGCAGTCCAGGATTGGACACCACTGTCTCCACTAAAGTGCTCTACTTCACTGATCGCTCACTCACTCCATTTCTGATTAACATCCCAAAAAGGTATGTGTGTTCCCTTAGTGTAGCATGCATGATTTCTAAGCAAATTGCTGTTTAGAGCTGTATTTTTGCATAACAAGACCTATGCTGCAGTGGCTGTGCTGCTTAGTTTATCCTTGAAAACCTTAATGCTTCTGTGGGTTTATATGTTGCTTTGCATAAATCATGACTGACAGTGTGTGCTTAGTATAAATGTATAAATCATGACTGACAGTGTGTGCTTACAGACTGGGTGAGGTGACACTGCGGGACTTTAAGGCTGCTGTAGACAGACAAGGCAATTTCAGATACCACTTCAAGGCCCTTGACCCAGAGTTTGGCACGGTGAAAGAGGAGGTAGGTGTGGGAGGAACATTACCAGCCATACTTCTTTTCACATCAGCTTTAGCAGGCAAGTGTAAAACGCCAGGAACGGGGTATGATATACTAGTCATACCCGTGGCTGCTATACATTTCACAACACAGACAGAGGCCAGGTTTCTGTTCCAGAGAATTTGACAGAGTAGACGTAGAGTAGTTGTTTTCTTTGTAAATGCACGTGTCTCTGTTGGTTATGTTAACACTAGATGTTGACTGTTCAGGTGTTCCAGGATGGGGCGGTCGTGCCTGGCTGGGAGGGGAAGATTGTAGCCTGGGTGGAGGAGGACCATGGAGAGAGGAGGTAAAGCCAGAAAACCAGAGATCACCACAACAAACCTCAGCTGATGCCACTGGACCTGCACTCCACTTAAAATTCTTGTGATGCCATAACAGAGCTCAATTAACTGGGACCAATGGATGTAACACCATTTTGATATGAAGTCATGTTTTAAAAGTGAATGTTTCATATGAAAAATTTGACTTGACCACTTTTTTTTTTGAAGGAATGCATATTAGACATTGTCTGCAGCTCATAAATTAATATGTGGGACAACCAATTATTAATGGTCAGTAATGTTAATGAAACTGAATTATTGTTAATGTGATTTACAATAAATAACACGTGATAAGTTGTGCTCTACGAAACTGTAATCGGTGTGTAGTACGCAAACCTTTAAAGTGTTTACTGACATTTTTCACATGCTCCAGATTGCCAAATAGTGATGTTGATGTTCTGCAGCTATTTTGTTGTTTTAATAAACATGAATTATTGCATGGATCATTTTACTGTCAATTATTACCCTAGTGTACGGTAAAAGCACTGTGTGCTAGCTCCTAGCCATTATACACTTCCACTCATACATTGATGTATTAATAAACAAAACACACAGACTGTCATTAAAGTCAATTAATTTTTTGCGTCAAATTTGCTGCAGCTCATCAACCCACACAGTGACCATCTTGCTTCAGGAAAACATTTTAGTTTTGATAATGGATCAGTTTACAGAAGAGTTGTTTATTATTGCTGAGGTTTAATAGTTTACAGTATAATGTGTTCTCCAGGCTTGTTAGAGTGCACAGTGGGAATCTAATTTGTTTGGGTTATTTGTCAGAATTTTACCCCCTTACTTCACAGTTTCTGAGCCCAATTTCCAGCAGGACTCCTCACCTCTGTGTAGGTGTGTTTTTTTCTATTAAGGCAAATGGTCACAAAACAGCCACACACAAAGACAGCCTTCGTTTCTTTTTGTTAAAGATGGCAGAGGCAGTGTCTTCATTTACAGCATTTGGAAACTCCAGAAGTAAATAGTAAACACCCTCCACTTCCAGTAAGACATCATCCTGCAGAGACAAATACATCAGACTCTTATAAGACTTTCAACAGCAGAAACAGGCCAATTATGTATTTTTTATGGCATCCAATGATGCACTGATGCGCAGTGGATTCTAAAGTGGTTCATTATAACTGTTCAAGGGAGTGTGTAACTGCTAACCTTGGAGATTTTCAGCTGGCACTCTGATATGGAGCAAACCTTTGGCAACTCCACTGTAAGCTCCACACTGCAAGGACTTCCTTCTGCATTAGTCTTCACCTCAAGTTGGTACTCAGGCTTCTGAGGCTGCTGAAAAGTGCTGGAGATGACCTGGATCAAATTCTTCTTTTTGTGCTCTGCAGGTCCACAAATAATTTGGGCTGCCAGCTCCTCATTTTGTTTCTCTGTACGTAGAGAGGAGATGTGCTGCAGGAGGGCAGCTGGGCTTTCACTGGCTGTAAAAAGTATGGGTTATTAGAAGCTGTGGGACAAGGAGTAAGATGATACACCTGCAGCAGCAAAGGAAACTCTCTCAACATAAAGGGCTTGTACCAGCTTATCAGGGTATAAGGCTTATTGCTCTACCTGTGTCAGGTTGTCTGGAGGTGTCAGGCCACCGCCGATATCCAAGTCGACGGTGCATGTCATCTAGGCTACTTTTTGGGTTATGGCTAACAACAGTGTACTGCTGAGACAACCTGATTCCATGCTTCTGACAGGCAAAGCTCATAGCCATCATATAGACCTGGTTAAGCTCTGTGTTGTCCTCCTTCTTTTCCTGTAGCACAGCAGGGTTTAATGCTACATCCAACACAGTGTACAAGCCTAGAGAAGGAAAACACCAGGCTTATAAGTTTTCTTGTTTATATCATGTAACACAAAGGCCTGCAAAGTTTTGCCTTTTACCTTGACCTTCATGTGTGTCTGTTTCCAGTGTTCCTGCGCACAAAGGCAGTGGTTTGCTGGGATCCTGAGGTGCAGGCACACGTTTCCAGCTGCATATGTTGATATACAGCAAACCTTTCCTAGGCTCCTGTTAGCGACACAAAGGTACTGTCTGTAAAACAAAAAACTTTCAAAAACACACAAAGCTGAAAGGAAGAATTGTTGACTGACAGAAAATTAAATGGCCATAATGTCTACCTATTAATTAAAAATGGCAAAAAATGACTCATTCCAGCATCTCAGTGGTGAATAGTTTTTTTAAACAGTAAACTGAAAAGCTTTGGGTTTTTCACTGTTTATTTATCACTACAATTATGTTTTTAAAAATTATACTATTTTCACTATTTGCTTACATTTTATAGACCAAACAAATAATCTACAAAGTCATCTGTAAATTTATCAGTAATTCAAACAACCTTTACATACAATCCTAGTGGACAGATAATACTATACAAATATAAACCTGATGGATTTGCAATTCTGTTTATATCTATAGATTCTTGTCTTTTCTTATTTACCAGAGATTGTGACCCTACCCAAGGCTGCATTACCAACCAGAAAGGGTTGTCCAGGGGGTCTAAACCCTCAGACCCCTAACCCCGGGTGTACACTGTATCATTTTGGCTCAACTATTTGATTATTTGCACCTCTGAAGGACAATATCAACTATGGTGGGTCCTCCATCCTGTGGCCCTGGTCATGTATGGATAGTGTGAAGACATCAGCTGTTCTAGTTCATGTTTTTCTCACTTTTTGCAAAACTGTGTTTTATGAAAACTCAGAAAATATTCACATTTGCTTAAGAAACGAATACTGCAAATAATCAATTTATCAAAAGTGCTCCAGGTTAATTTTCTGCCAGTTGACTACTGGATTAATAAGGTCATCGTTGAAGCTTGAGAACTGGTTGGTTTCAGGGTTCCAGGGGAAATAATGCAACTCGTGTACACTGGGGCTCACAGCGTTACCCTGGGGCCCCTGCCAGGTTAATATGGCCATTATCCTAAGACACTAGGTCAATACCTGTGCTGAACCTGGAGGTGAGCTACATGGATCGCAGCCATCATTAATGAGCAACACCTGTGCTTTCCCTGCTTTGACAACACGCTTGACACGAGAAACCTTTTTGCAGGCGTGGTGGCTACAGCAGCTAAAATTGTCTAACATCCAGTTGGCAGTTATTAAACTTCTGCCACCGAGAGGACTTACCAGCATTTCAGCGCAAATACAAGAGACGAGCTTGGGCGGTGCGCTGAAGTCCGTGCCTTCCTTCATCTGTTTCTGAATGAACTTGCGGTAGGCCGCAGGGTCACTTTGAGAAAGCTCGTCCAGCATGGACCAAAACTGGCTGAGCTGCTGCAAAGCATCTTTTGCACAGCTAGCCGAGGACATCTTAAGGTGACTATTTTGGAGTTACAAAACACCGACGTTAACTAGCGTCAGCCACTTGCTAGCGCTAGGTTAGCTAATGTTGTCAGTTGCTATGGAAACTAGAAGAGAGGAAACGTTACACAGATACCACCTGGCGGCTAAAAGCAGAACTGCAGCTCAATAACACCACACTGGACACAGTTTAATAAGAGGCATAATTTATATTCAGTACATGAAAAATGTAATGTAGAAATACATGTTAATGTCTTCAGTCAGTCTTATGTGTAGCCTACATTATATAAAGGACATTTATAGTAAAAAGATTAAATGTGATTTACAGTAGTAGCCTTTGCTTTTCGTGCTTGAGTCCTCTTCAGTAATTCTGCAAAGAGCAACAGTCATTATTAACAATCAGTGTAAAAATCGTTATCATATTCCATTGCATTCCATTTCCAGTGTCTTGTTTGTTGCAGATTATGCCAGTAACAAGAGAATGTGTGTGTATGAAATGAATTTGGGCTCTCTGATATTTCTGAAGTAGGAAGTAGTCACCTTTTGCTCTAGTAAAAATAAAATCTAAAAATATTCAATAAAAAGTAGAAATCCTGTGTTCTAAAGGTTACTTAAACAGAAGAATGGATGCAATATCAGCAAAATGTAGTGTCAAAAATACTCAGTGTTATATTATTAGATCATCTTTATTGTTGATGCATTTTAAAGTTGGTCAATGTGACACTAACATTAACTTCTTTACATACTGTTGGGCACTTCAGCCTAAAGGCTTTGCTACTTTTTTTTGTCTTATATGGTCAAGTGTTTTGAATTTTACAGTGCCTGGTCAAAAAAAAAAGATTCTCAGGATGTCACCTTGGATTGATTTTTACTTTTTTTTTTTCTTTTTTAAGAGTAGACAATTAGTTGATTATTTGAAAAATTACTTTTTTTTTACTAGAGAATTTCTAAAAAGTCTGTCTACCTCAATCATTTCGTAGATCCAGCCCAAGAATTCAGCCACTTTGGTGTAAACCCCAGGATGGTTGGGCTCAGCGCAGCCTGTCCCCCAGCTGACGACCCCTACCAGCCTCCACACATTTTCATCCTGGCAAACCAGAGGACCCCCACTGTCCCCCTAGAGAGGTAACCGCAAACACTGTTCATTGATGACCCAGTTTTCCTTGTGCAGAAAAGGGGTTGGATCTTTTCAAAAGCCTCTGCAAGGCATGGTTCAAAACATGCATCTGACCTGACAGGCATCCACTTTTCCCTCTGTGTATCCTGCGCAAAGCATCCGAGGTGTGATCTCTCCGTTATACATGCAAGAGCTGTTACACTTCTTTGTGCTTATTATGGGAACTGGTGCCTCTTTCAGGGAGTCAGGTGAGTGGACTAAGAGAGAAAACGTATTTATGGCTGCTCTTCAAATACACTTGGTACATTCAGTCATGATGCTTGATTTAAACTTGGAGCAGGTGTAAATTTGCTGTAGAGAAATGCAGAGTAGTGTCTTACCACTATCAGGCTGTGTGTATCCCCAGCCAGAGATCCAGCACCGTGTACCTCCTGGATGATCATCGTCGTACCGAGGCAGGCAGATGGGCCTAACTGTGTCTAGAATTTCAGGTTGGCATGTGGATAGATTTATAATGTTGTGTTCAAATCCTTTTTATAGCCATTAAGGCTTCTCTCATATGCTGTTTGATACACATACTGTACGTATACTACATTTGTGGGGTCCCTCAAGTTTACGCTCTCTGTACTCTGATTACAATTGGGTCTGCAAATCATCAGGCCTTAAAGTTCCCTTGCTTTCAAAAATGTGTTTAGCTTATTGCTGCTTCACTTTGTGGAATGATAAATGTGCAGAGTTTCACACTAGAAGGCTGTTTTATCATTCATCCTTTGAAGGGGGAAAGTTTCTTTGTGCTCACCTGAAGTCTCAGTTTAAGACATACCAACAAAAATGATTTAATGACACGGATGCCAATCGTAGTTCGGCATGCAACTTACAGAAGTATAATGTGGAAACTTGAAACTTTCCGTGCACATACACTGAGAATGGACTTAACCAGACGTCTTGGGTGCAGCAGTTACATATTGGAAATGAACAGTCTTTGCATATTTATGTATTTTAGATTATTTAATGAAGCAGAAGGAGTACAGTAGGTATAATATCAAGATTTCCTTTTTTACAAGGTAATTGGACTTTTGTGAAAAAACACATCAGACAAACTCAAAGGAGAATAATTTAAATGTGACTGAAGGGAGTCATTAAACTCTGAGGTTGTATGCTTACATTTGAAGTTGTATAAATAATCTGTTGTTTAAGATGCTGTGACTGCAGAGAAAGATTTTGAGTTGGTGTGTAATAAAAGTGTATATCATTGTCGGTCCACCCTATACACCTGGAAGTGATTGCTGATTCTGATGAAGGCCTGCTGTAGTATTGAAACATTCTGTTTCTGAAGTGTTGCTATTTCAGCTACTGTATGTTGTGTGTAAAGCCTGTGGTGAATCTGACTGACCTGAGAAATTCAGCGGGGTCCGCAGTTTCATCAGGGCTATATCACCGTCATGGCTCCTGTGGTTGTAGTTCTTGTTATAGATGATCTTCTCCACGACATATCCTGTGTGCTGAGTCATTTTTGTTGAACTGCGGGTGACAATACCAGCGTAGACCACCCAGCTGGACACCTGAGGCAGCCTGTAGCTGACATGCAGTATGAGAAAGAAGAGGAGGCACAGATGAGTGAGAATTGTCATCTAGCTGTTAATGACTAATTATTCTCGGAGGCTGTAACCTTTGATTTTTGTGCTGCTAAGTTTGGCAGTCTTACTTGTGCACACAGTGGGCAGCTGTGACTACCCACTGACTAGTGATGATAGAGCCTCCACAGGTGTGACGGTTGCTGTAGTAGAGGCTGACCTGCCAGGGCCACCTGCCCAGCGCGGCCTCTACTCCCCCAATTATCCTGGGCAGCTTTGCTCGTGTGCCACACTCTACATAGACATCCATTCATCAAAAAAAGTTGAATTGGGTTGGTCAGAAGCGTAAGAAATAGTACAGGGCTTTGTGTTGGGTGCAAAGTCAAACAAAAAGTTCAATTTAATTTGCTCACCAAAACATTGCAAAGCGATAACCTTCCTTGTGCTACAGCTCCCCCTAAATGAAAATAAATGGGTTAACTAATGACTCATAATTACTGTTAGCGGCCATGTTTTTCTCTGTGTCATTATGAGAATGATATCCTTGAACAAATAGCCTTACCTGAACTGCCATATATTTTCCAGAGGGCTCTTGTGTTCTGAGGTAATTTGTATAAAGCCATCAGTATAGTTTGGCCCAATATCAGTGAGGTTCACTCCTTTATGCTTGGCCAGCCTGGTAAGGGGACATATACAAAATGGGTGTAAGTGTGAAGCAAGATTGTAAATAAGGTATTATTAAATCATAACTAAGTCGAGCCTTGTCACAGCTGGATAAGAAAACTACAGTTTAGTGAGTGGGCGCTCAGTGTCAATCCCTGTTAAGGGTAGAGGTGTTGTGTGATTGCGTCAGGAGGGCAGACCTCAGATAGCCCAGCTGTCTGCAGACCAGTGTTCCCAGTGAAGAATTCCATCTATAGCTGCACACTGGCAGCCAGGTGGGAAGCTTCCCCAGCTGGATTTCCAGGAGGGAGTTCTCCGGGCTGATTCTGTAAAACACTGAATCTGATTGATTGAATATCCCTCCGGAGACAAGTGCTCAGTCGACAGTAATGAACAAGCCTCTTCTTGGTAGTAGGAAATGATTAGGGAAACCACAAGTATCTGTGCTAATGTATGTGTGATGTTTTTATGTCAGTCAATGGGCATCTCTCGAGAGAACAAAAGACAACAAGAAGCAGCTGATGAATGATCATTTTGCTACTGTTCAAGAAGTGAGCCATGACCCAGTATGAAGAATCCATCCACCCATCCATCCATCCATATAAAGAATCGCATAACAATAAGCTAAACAACCACACAGGCCTGCAGTCTTTGTTAATCCATTCAGCAGTGAAGCAAATGCTCACTGAACACCGAAAAGGGGAGGAAATACAGACCTTTCCTGGGACTGAAGACAGAAACATCCTCTGTCACATTGCAGAAAGCCGTCTCTTTTGTGTCCCCAAGTCCCAGTGGACTTTGGGAGGAGGATGGCCTCAGCAGAAGTCTGACTATATGTGGTAAAGATATACTGTAGTTAATCAGCAGCTGCTTGTTGTTTCCAGAGATTACAAGATAATCAGCACACAGAGCAGGCAAATCCAGCATTGTAGAGCAGTAAAATATTACAATACAGAACAGGAAGTTATTGAAATATTTTAATCAGTAGTAGTCCTGCTGATTAGGAGAATGCTCACTAAAATAGTACTGAACATTATTACTTTTTGCCTGCTGTAAAATCTTTGCTGGAGGACTTGAGAGGCAATTAAAAAAGAGAGAGAGAGAGAGAGAGAGAGAGAGAGAAAACGGATGCAGCAGAGGGCGACATATCCTGTCTTTTAATCTTTAATATTGGTCACACTCCAAAAAAAGTGGATCCTACATTTCTTCATTGGTTCATCCTACATTTCATTTTGGTGAGCCATTATCATCCAAAGTTTAGGGATGTTTATAATTAAACTCGTGTCCACAAAGATGTAGGATCAATTTTGCTGACATTATTTGGACCTGCTTTGCTTGTTTTACTACAGTTAAAAATGGGAATAAAATAATTTATACAGTTGATTGCAAAAGTTTGCATCCCCTTAGTTTGAAATGGCAAAAAGAGTAAATCAAAAAAATTTGTCAACATAATTTTTAATGCAAAATAGGCTAGTACATTTAAAAATAAGGGCATGCAGACTTTACACTCAAGTGTACCTAATAAACTGGCTGAGTGAATATGGCCATTTTGGCTTATTGCAGACATACAGTACCTGCCACAGCCTATGTTAACTGCTAAGTAACAAGATATTGCAGTATTACTGTATAGACAAATCAAAGATTTGATTTTGTTTTACTGATTTCTGACATTATTTAGACCAAACAATGAATCAGTTATTCAGAAAATAAAGAACAGGTTAATCACTGATAATTGTTGTTTGCAGCCCTATATTGAAATTTTAAACATTTTCAAATGCTGAAATATCGCTCTCAGAAATCCACTATCAACTGGGCGCTGCTATATAGGAAAATGCACCGAAGTTTGAGTAGTTATTAATTTCTGTCCCCCGGTTACTGCTAAGCTCATTAAGCGATTCTTTCTGAGACTGTGACTCACCTAGAAACCAGACACCTACGGCTAAGCCTCCCAGGAGTCCAACTGCACACACTGCTGCCAGCAGCCTCAGCAGCCTGTGAGCTGAAGCAACAGTTAAGACTGGAGTTAATACCTTCTGAGCCCAGATAGAGCAACATGAATTATTAAATGTCAACTGTTATATACAGTAGTGACACACAGCAACAAGACAGAGGCAGAAATGAAAAGCTATATTCATGCACAGCACTAACAAGTTGTAAGTGGCTATACATGGTGACATTTTTACTGCCATGTTGTACTACTTGACTGTACTTACTACACTGCTGTTAGTTTAATTAGGCTTGTGCTTTACACACGGCGGCGTATTTTCACCACTCTGTTGTTTTTTTGCACAAAGGGAGCAGGATTACTGCTGTAGCCTGGTGCTGATGTCCATGCGGTTCCACTGCCAGAGCTTACCGTGAGTCGTAGAATGAATGCCTTTTAACCAGCCCTGCGCTCCTTTGGTCCCTGCAACTCCTGCTGTGTTCTCTGAGTGAAAGGGATGACTGACAGCCGCTGGGTTCTCAATCACTGATAATGTGTCTCCATCAAGACTCTAGGAGTTACAGCAGTCATGTCAGACCACAGTTGCAGCTTGTTTGTATATGATAACATTTTGACATCCTTGCTTGCTTGTGGCAACTGCGACCTGCTGATCATCTGCTTCTCAACAAAAGTGCACCTGTGACACACATTTAATTAGGAGCACAGTAATCCTAGATATTAGGCACCTCTGACCAGGCCAGATTTATAGAGTCAAAGCTGTGTGTGTTTGTCATTAATCTCCTCATTGAACGAGGTATTATGATTCAGCATTTGGCCTGTTTTGGGTCTTGCACAACAGTTTGGTTTGAAGTTGAAGCACATTTCTTGCTCTTGTCTGTTGCATCACTCTGGAGCGCTTGGGTTTTTGTTGGACATACTCCCCAAGGAGCAGCTGTTTCTCTAAGTGACATATTGAGAGTATTACAGTAATTATAATAAAGCTCTTCATAGATGTGAGATGCAGACTTGGTGTTATACGATTACACAGTACAGTTCATCTAAATGAATGCTTTACCATCTGCTGTCTTGTATTACTGTGGCAATTGCATGTAATCGTGGCCTCTGCAATTATTTATGTATAGTGCGGGAGCAGTTACAGATTCAGGACAGCTGTACAGCATAGGTCGCAAGATGGACATAAATGATATAAAAATAAAACATAAGTGTGACAGAAACAAGTGTGAGACAAGTTTGAAGCAAACAGTACATGTGTACACACCAGCTGTTACTGTAAATTGTGAAGGTGACTGCGAGAGAGGTGTTGTCAGGATTGCCTACATTAGAAAGATGGACCAAGGTGTAGTGAATCTTATATATACATAGTCTCTCTTTTCTTACCATGTTTCCCTTGTGTACAGTCCTGAGGAAAAGGCAGCAGTATCCTTGTTCATCTGCAGGTCTGTGCTGGTGGGAGAGAGATGCGTCCCTCTCACAGCCGATGCACCTTTTGCTATTTGTGGCAGAATGCAACTGTGGATTTTCCCCTCACAAAGAGACAAAGAGGTCAGCAGTGGTGCAGAGAATGACTCTGTTGTTTGTCCAGGGGGCTCATGGGGCCTGTGGACACAAGCTGAACCAGGTCTTTGTAGGGTGGGGGCATCTCCAGAGATGCCTCCAAGCTGACTACTGATAGGGCACTGGGGGGTTGCTAGGTAACACTTTTTACTGGTGCCAAAAGATTGTCCATTTTCACCTGAGACATGTTATTACTTGACAGTTTGTAGGATCTGCAAAAAGGTCATTATTGCAGATTGTTGAAAAGTCTCATATCATGTCAGTCCTCCTCTTGTGAAATCCAAAGCTATCATCTCTCGGCACTCAAGAACAAAATGAAGTCTGCTCTGTCTGCCCGGTGACAGAGGAGACTTTCACTGCTGTCTCTTATCCAGCTCACAGTCGCTGTTTGTGTCAGTATTGTTTTTCTCTATATCATATTTGTTCTTTGAAGTATAGTAGGTGACTTGAGTGGCTTCAAAAAGTAATAATTGGCTCTAAAATGAGATAAGGAATACATGCTATTTGACTATAGTGAAAAATTAGCTTGAACTCAGAGATGAGAGATCAAAGCCTGCCTTCACTTAATTTTGTGAATTCATATTGAAGATAAATACATCATTGTATCCATGTAAATAAAGGTTATTTATGTATCTCCCATATGCTTGGTATGGGATTAGCCTGAGTCCAGGTGAAGGGAATGACTGCCAGAAGTAAAATTCCTCACTGTCTGACTGTAGAGGATGAATCTAAGAAATGGCCCGTCTAATGGGTGTCATATGGAATTATTTGGAAATCAAACACAGAATAATGAGCATTGCAGCAGTGATGCACATTGCATGTGATGGAGCAACAGCTGAAGTTCATATCATGAGGGCAGTGAGGTTAATAATGTTTGATAATATTAGCATTGCACTCAATTGTTCTCCTGCAGAAGCAAACAGAGGAGCAAGGAAAACATAGCTGCTGTTTGGTAATTTTCACAGGGATTTGGTGTCCCCCCTCTTCGGGTGAAATCTGTTTTCTCAGTAAACAGTGATTTACTCAGCTGCCATTCACTGGATTCGCTTTGTTAGAAATCATTTGGGGAAGATGAATAATCTCATTTTCATTTTTTATTTCCATAGTTTAGCTAAAACTAATGCGGTCTTAACAACCCTGCATTCTACTGTGATGAAGGTTAAAAGATTCAGTTTTTCTGTTTTGAACTCATTGTAATAGGTATTTTTGATACTTGCTTTCTGGTGGTGTTTAAGTGTTATATTTAGTGCTGAAAAGTTAGATGATTAATCAGTTAGTCAATCGACAGAAAGCAATTGTGATAACTGAGAAGTCATTGTAAGACATTTATCAAACAAAGATGCCAGTTGTTTTGTTTCCAGCTTCTCAAATAATAGGATTTGGTGCTGCTCTCACCATAACATAAATATCTTAAACATAACATGTTAATCAGAAAAATAAACAATTTGAACCTTTTTTAAATTTTT